TCTATCTATCTATCTATCTATCTATCTATCTATCTATCTATCTATCTATCTATCTGTCTATCTATCTATAGACCACCTTATCAGATTTTCCCAGAAGACCAGCGATGCCTTTCAAGATAAAGACAATGTTGAGGCTGTCTTCATCGACCTAAGGCAGGCGTATGACCGTGTGTGGAGACAGGGACTGTTCTACAAAATGCAAAAGCATGGGATAACAGGAAGGATGTACAGCTGGGTCAAGAACTTTCTGTCTTGTAGAACTATCCAGACATCATGTAACAGCTAGATTTCTTCACAGAGAACACTCGAGGAAGGCCTCCCTCAGGGGTCAGCACACAGCTGTACCCTCTTCCTGTTGTTCATGAACGACTTGCCAGATGTCATAACCTGCCAGAGAGCACTCTACGTTGACGACTTACTCATCTGGAACAAAGGAAGTGACATGAGAGCACTGGGCCAAGCCATCAACGCGGACCTGACAACTGTCTCGTCCTACTGCCAGCTATGGAAGGTGGGGATCAACACAGACGAGATAGTTTTTGGACTCTTCAGCCTCAAAAACAAAGTTACAGCAAATCAGAAAGTCAGGTAAACCTGAAGATCAATGGAACCAACATCAAAGATGAGGACTATCCCAAGTACCTTGGTGTACAACTGGACCGAAAGCTGTCTCTCAAAGATCATTTGGTGGAGCTGAGCAAGAAAGCCACCTCCAGACTAAACCTTCTGAAACACCTTTCATCACTCAGCTGGGGTGCTGACAAAGCAACCCTCCGACAACTTTATGTAGGGTATGTCAGATCTGTGACTGACTACTCCCTACCACTACAATCCATAGCCAGCCAAGAGCTTGACAAAATACAGAACGAAGCACTCGGGTTTGTTACTGGCCCGATGAAGACCACGCCTACAAGCGCCTGCGAAATCCACCCCATGATAGAATCACTAGACATCAGAAGAAAGAGTGCTACACTCGAAACCTACGAAAGATTTGTGCGACTAGAAGATACGAACGAAAACAGAAAAAAGACAGATGAGTGGGAACCAAGAACACGCATCCAGAAGACCTTCATGCGACAAACAACAAAACTACTTGAGAAGTATGACCCACCCGAGAACAGAGAACCAATCATCAACATCAGCAGCGAACCTCCATATTCGCAGACACCAGACATCACAATAAGGACGAGACTTCTAGATCCTTCTTGTGACAAGACCACACCAGCAGAAATCCCCAGAACTAGTGCCCTGGAGACAGTGGTCTCGTATGCTGAAACTCCAATTCATGCATACACAGATGGGTCAGCAACAAACGCTACATGGAATGCAGGATACGGATCTATCATCAAATATCGAAACAACCTTGGAGAGAAGAAGCAGACCCAGCTATTTGGCCCATATTTAACATACAGCTCCAACTATGACGCAGAGAGAGTTGCCATAGAAAAGACCCAGGAGCCGACCACACAAGACTTTTTTGAAGGCGCAGTAACACTTGGGGAGGTTGTTGTCTTCTCTGACTCAATGTCAGTACTCCAAGCCGTCGAGGGAGGAGGGGACTACAGAGGTGACGGGTACATTCTCAGCCTTGTAAAACAGATAGGCACTTCCTATGGCGTCCGGGTCACACTGCTATGGGTGCCTGGCCATTCTGGAGTAACAGGGAATGAGACTGCAGACCAGCTATCAAAGACTGGAGCAAGCCTGCCCGAGACATACACAGCCGCCTCTTTACAGACCTGCAGAGGCATCATCCAAACTAAAAGCAGAGACGAGAGGCTAAACAGATGGGCCAACGCAGAAACAGAAAGATCACTCTTCGGGCACATGGACAAACCCAACCCCAAAGACCCTACGAATCTCTTATGTAGAGCCGATCAGACAGTGATCCTCAGAGCCCTCACAGGACACATACACGCCAACAAGCACATAAACAGAATTAACCCCATGTGGAAACCCGATTGAAGACACAGTGACTACCACGAGGAGACCGTTGAACATCTTCTCCTTCACTGCCCAAACCTGGCAGTTCTTTGACGCAGGCTCCTATACACACCTACAGACTTATAAAGC